GACAATAATACCTTTAATTAAGCCATGTGAAATATAAATATAGAAGATAAACGATAAAGAAAGAGGTACATATAGAAGAAAAGTAAGAATAATGCATACATTCAAAACTAAAATATTATTATTTTATGGAAAAATGGCTGATTTGATTGTAAAAAAAAAAAAGATCACTTTAAATTCAACCTTATGATTGTAGGACCTTTGAAAGATTAGGTTAAACCTCGTGATAGCATCTTATATCAATAATAAAATATCATTTAAATTAAAAAAAATAATCAATTAAATATCGTATCATCTATTTTTATATTAATTTTTAGAATTATCTTTTTTTCATTATATTTTAGTTACAAATGCAAATTGAGTGATTATGATTGGATTGGTGATATACAAACAAAATGAATAAGATTCACATCTCCAAAAAAAAAAAAAAAAATCTAAGACATGTATACGTAATTTTCTTTTCCTATCGTGTGAATCAAATAATTTTTTGGACCACTCATAATATTATAACTTAGATTAAGAGCACAAGGAGCCCAAAAACTTTTCGTTAAAAATTCCATGAGTTATGAACTCCTAAACTCAAATTAATTGTATTTGAAGAATACAAAAAATAAAGAGTTTTATATAAATATAAGTTTAAGAAGGCAAAAGCAGTTGAATTAAAATATATTTTAGTAAGAGTATAACATAAAAAAGAGTCGTTAATAATTTGATTTTGGGATAGGAAACAACAATTTTGCAACATCTCAAAATGAGAAATGAAATTGCGTACTTCTGCGATGGGTAATTTCAGTATTAAACAACCCATTCCATTTCCATTCCTAAATCGCCATTAACGTCCTCTCAACAAGGCAGGGCAGAGGTTGGACACGACAGACACACGTGCCGACATTATATTGGGGAACAGGTTTCACAGGTTTTTCAAACGTCTCAGAAACGTAAAAAATTTTGGGCCCCCACAATATCACGGCGCTACAGACACCAGATTTTCTCTCACCACAACGCGACAAAATCAAAATCATAACATAACTCAAGCCAAGCCAATTCAAATAACAAAGCCCAATAGTTACTATTCTACACTGCCAAAGTACATTTCTAGTCCCTCCAAATTCGGACACTGGTCACTTCGAATCCTTGAGCTTCGTAAATTTTAATATCAATCCCAAAGTTTTAAATAAATATTCACAATCAACTTAAAAACTAATAGTAAGTCCATATTTTGAGTTTTAAAAAAAAAATTTTTTTTAAAGCTTTTATAGGATCGTTCTTCATTCACCAAGTGAGACAACTTTTTAGATGTTTGGGATTTTTTTATTCATCGAGAGACTCATGAGCTTTTGGACTATAGAATAAAAGTAGTCATCTCGTATTACATAATCACTATTTTTTTTTAAGGCTTGTAGGTTATACAAAGAGACTAGTTTTTTCTCATTGTATGATCACTACAAAAATATAAAGTCACTAAGACTCAAACTCTGTTTCATTTAAAAAGCTAATTGGGCATGTAAGCTGTTAAGTATATTTGCATTAGGATTTTTTTTTCACAAGTTTAATGGCAAAAATTATTTTTATTCATAGCAATTTGATAATTTCAGGCTTGTATTATTAATTTATATAATTTGAATCACAAACAATTCTTTTTTTTTTTTAGTAAATCTTATTATTTTTTCTTTATTTGTAACAATCAACTCTTTGATCGTTAAATAAAATGCTTAAATGACATTTTTTAAGCATTTCATTGTTATTTTTTAAAAAAATTATGAAATAAAAATAAAATCAATTGAAATGGTTTATACAAATTACATGTCTTATGTATTAACTCTTTCAAATAAAAAAATTTTAAAAGATAATCCTCTATTTTTCATTTTTTTAGGTGATCAATATTTTTTAGCCGCATTTTAACCTTCATGATGACCAAGTTAGTTGGCGAATCTATCTATTTAAGACTGGTATATACTAAAATTAAGCAACGATGGAAGCTCGATAGGGATTTTGATATTTTAAATTGTGAGACAAATGGAAATAAATGATAGGATTTTTCATGTTAAGTATTAGAGACTACACACTTTATGTTTCACCATGAGAATATATGGACATGCGGATTCAAGCTAGTCCGACTTTGAATCTACTCTAGAGATGGAGGGTTAGGATTCTCACCTACTAAAAGAACAAAATAGCATGAACAAGAAAAAATAATGTAGGTGTGACTAGTGCTTTCAAATCTAGTATAGATTTGGGACTTGGCAAATAGAATCCAATTTGAGAGAGAGAGATTGATTTGGATTTTCATTTGAAAATTGAAGTGAATTAGGGAGAGAGCTTAATTGTGTTAAGGGTTTCACCATGGAGAATGTTATTGATGGATGTGTAGTCGATTGGACCACGTGGTGGTTTGTAGGAGGTCGAGATAAGGAAGAAAAGGATTGTTGTTAGACACGGTTGTTTTTAGAGTTTGATGGGCTGTGGTGATTTCGGTAAGGAGCCGAGATGATGGATAAAGCGGACTACTTCTATTTTAGATTCATTGATGATTAGGTTCATGGGTGCCGGCAACTTATGGTGGTAGTGATGAGAGTACCGACAACTTGAGGCGAGTGGGTGAGAGGTGTTCTTCGCCGACAATGAGAGTGACTTGTGGTGGTGAGGGGACTGGCGACTTAGGTAGTGGGTGAGGATGTGAGTTGTGTTTGAATTTTTCAATTAAAAGATTTAATATAGATAACATGGCATTTGTATTAACCCTTTTAATTGATTTTTTTTTTAATTTCGTAAACAATATTTTAAAAAATAGTAGAATTCTTAAACTAATCGTTTAAACATTTCACCTAACAATCAAAGAGTTGACCGTTATAAATAATAGGTGAATGATAGGATTTATCTAAAATATAATAGTTTGAGATTTAAGATTCAACTTATATAAATTGATAATGAATACTCAAAATTGCCAAATTTCAATAAAATGAGGATAATTTTTGCTATAAAACCCTTTTCCATATACATAGATAGATTAATTTTGTTGATAACTAATGAAAATCACTCGTTTTAAAATGCTTGATCGATTAAAAAAACATATAACGTAAAATATATGATAAGATTTTATTATAAAAAACATATAAAATAATCAATACTATTTCTAAAAAATAAACAAAAGAGGGTTAATCAAACTACCAACTCGTATTTTTTTTATTTCAAAAATTTTAAATAAAATTCGATGCATAAATTCAAAGCTAACTACACACTATGTTGAATAATTTTTTTTTAATTAATTTAAAAGAAAATTAAAAAAATAGGTTGACTTCATAATAGTTTTATAAAAGAAAATTTTTTTATCTTAAAATAAAAAGGATATAACATGCGTGGGAGTAGGAAGGAAAATACTAGAGAAGAGCAGGAACAAGAAGAGCATTCAACTAGCTTGTACTTTACTAGAAGCTAAATTGAAATTCTTTCAAGATTATAAGATTAATATAAAAAATTGATAAACTATTGGAGCTGAAGTGGAACACGAGTAAAGATCTAGGAAGCTAATGTTTTTATTTTATTTTTTATAAAACAGGGTATAGCAGGTAAAACAAGTAAAGCCGGTGACAAAAGTGTGACCGTACGGCACATGGCAGGTCGTTTCCATGGCAGTTGGTAAGCATTAAGTGTGCCTGCCTCCTTTCTCTTCCCCACCTCCCTCCCTCCCCTCTCTCTCTCTCTCTCTCTCTCTACTGATCATTATTTCTCTCTCTAAACTTCTGCATTTCGAATTCTCTCCCTCAATACTTAAAAAAAAAAAAACACTGAAGCGCTCCGTTCCGCTCTCATTCTGAATTCATTCAGGTAATGAAGTGCTTGTTTTCTGGTTTCTAAGTCAACCCATTGAAGCTTCTCTCTTCCTACCTCTACTGTTCTCTCTCTTTTGTGCTCTCAATTACTTCTATTTAGTTATGATATTTGATTAAAAAATGTTTTATAATGATATTAGTATTGTGACAAATGAACTATCAATCTGCTCACAAATTTTTTAAAAGCCAAAAGTAACTGTTTTATTTAATAGTTTAGTTCAGTCTTTTTATTTTTCTCATTGGGTTTTTCGTTAGACAAATTATGCAGAGCTGCAAATTTTTTAAGCAATGAGGAGTTCTATGTTTTTCTAGCAAAACCCACTCTGTTTTTCTTTTTTATTTTTTTTTATTTTTTATTTTCGGGTTTTGCCTGCTACAGTTTTTTTTTTTTTGGTTAACTTAAATGATTTCCAATTTGGTTTTTTTTTTTTTTTTGCTTTTTTTTTTCATGAACAAATCAATCTCTTTGAAAGGCCACTTTGTTTTAACGTTAGTGATGGAATTGAATTATGGTTTCTTTTTGTGTATTATCGTGAAGAGCGATGCTATACTTACATATTTGTTTCAAAGAATTCACTTACTGAAACATATCAACCATTGATTTTATGAGAGCCCATAAGGAAATCCACCTACAGAAACTCTGTTTAAGTAAAAGCTTGGATTGTTTACATTTGATTTAACTTTGATCCCACTAAATTAGTTAAATCTTGATTCAAACTGATGTGTGAAGTACTTCAATACCTTCATGGTTGGCTGTGAATGTGATGTCACACTGCCTCAAAAAGAAGATTTTAATGATGAGCATTCTTTTGATCTGAATTCAACAGTGCTTCATTTATTGTATTCAATCTTAGTCCGTGACGCTAAGATATTACCCTTTCAAATTCTTCTGTCTCTATAAATTAAATGATCTTATTAACATGCTTCCATGCTTTTGCTTCTTCAGGGAATTGAAGTTTGAAGCTTGCAAGAAGGATAAAGATTCTTTCTTTGACCCTTTAATGTGAAGATCAGTGAGATTTTGGTTATAGAAAGATCACACCTTTTCACTAAAATTTTGATGAGTTTTTCTTTATCAGTCCAGTTTGTATATAGTTAATGCTAATTTTAGGATTTTTGGGTATTGATTTCAAAATTGTGGGTTTTGATCAAGAATATTTGTGAGTGAAGAAGATGTTAGAGACTGAGCTGTGTTCTTCTAGGATTCTTTCACCTTTTAGAGAAGAGAGTGGTGATGAAGAGCTGTCTGTGCTTCCTAGGCACACAAAAGTCGTTGTCACTGGAAATAATAGAACAAAGTCCGTGTTGGTTGGTTTGCAAGGCGTGGTCAAGAAGGCTGTTGGTCTTGGAGGGTGGCATTGGCTGGTATATTTGCTTATTCCTTTTCCTTTTTCACACTCACCTTTTTATTTGCTATTAGCCAATCAATCATAGAAAACGAGTATCCTTTGTCTTGCCCACTAATTCAATGTTAATTTGATCTGGTTTTATTTTTTCGTTCTATCTCTAGCTTTGTCTTCTTTGTTTAGCATTCATTTGGCTGGGAACCTTATACCCTAGTGGCTAGTGCTATTGAAGAATTGAAAAGAATGGTTTGGTTTTGGTTTTTATTATGTTTTGGTTTTGGTTTTTATTTAGCTGATTTTATTTATTGATTATATTTTTTCCAAATTTAAATGTAGTTTAGATTCCCATGTAATGGGAAGTTTTTTATTGTTTTTGGTTTTATCCTTTCCTAATTTGAGGTAGGGCATGCAAAACCAAAAATTTATATAAATAAACTTTTTTTATAGGTTTAAACATCAATTCCCCTCTTATAAAACATTTTTTTTTAAAAAAGGTCTAGATCTTAACTCTTCAGCCGCAAGTACAGAACTTGATCTTAATCCTTCATCTTTTAATAGGCCAAACAATTCATGTCTGATGTAAGTGTTTAAACTTTTGTTTTAGACACTCTTAAGGCACTCGAATATGCAGTAAGATAAATTTTTTTTCTTTGGTGTCGTAGTAACTGCTAAATTTTGAATAGATATGTGTTGTTTCTGCGAAGTATTTAATGTTTTTTAAATGGTACAGAAATTTAAACTTGCGAGTTTTGTGTTTGCATATTCTGAGTGCCAGCACGAGGATTGTTTGGAGAATTGTCTTTTTTTAATTCTCCTAAAAAATTCTTTCAACTAAAATTGCTTTTCTTTTAAAGTTTGTAAATCTGTATGATTTGGTTGTGGTTTTGGAAGATCTGAGCTTTTAAACCAACCTTTTTTATTGTGGTCTGTTCAATAGAATTTCTGTCAATTTTCCATGACAGATTTACTGTCTCGTCAGATATATAGTGACAAGTACCAGAGAAAAAATTAATTTCAAGCAATAGAATAAAAAAAATAAGAAATTAATTTTTTTTTTCTATCTAAGATGGCAGTCCACATGTTGCTGGAAAATTGTCAGGAATTCAATAAATATCTAGATTAGAGAAACCAAAATAAATCCTTATTTCTGTCATCAAATCTTTACTTCTCATTTTATTAATCTTTACTCTCTTTCTCTAAGCACCAAAATATAAGGATGTTTTAGGTAGTAGATGCTAATTTGGCATATCTAGCAAAAAGTGAGGAGCTAATTTATAATTTATTCTTTATCCTTCAATTGCTTTATTGAGCGTTCTATATTCTGTCACCATTATGGTTTGTGGGATGCATGCTTACAAGTCTTGAATGCTTGCTTGGACACGCAAGGTTTTGAAAAATGGATCTGAAGTTAAGCTTCAAAGGAATGCGTTGAGTGTCCTGGAACATCCTACAGGGAATGAAGTGGATGATGATAACGATTTTGATACCAGCAGTGGCTCTGACATTGGTGAACATGATTTTTGTATGTCTCTGATAAACCATGTTTAGTTTGATGTCATCACGTTCACTGACTGGTCTTTTGAAACTTGTATCTTCTCTGATATTGTTTTCCCTTGGGCAGATAGGGGCAGTGAGTTCCATAAAATCAGCAAGCCAAGGGTTCGACCGACCAGGCCATGGGTTTCATCTGCGCCGGTAAAGTCAACAAGTCGGAGCAGCTACAGAGATGTTCAATCCATTATTCAAACTCCCCTGCCGGTAGGAGATTTTTGAACCTCACTTTTTTGGATTCCTTGGCATGCTTGATTTTGGGGCATTATTCATTAAACATTATGCACAAAGATTTATAGCTTTGCATACTGCTGTTAACAAACATACGTTGATGCCTTAGACGGTGAACTTGGCAAGTCTAGGAACTGAATCGTTGCGGAGATATTGCAAGGAATTCAAACTTGTAAGTCTTATCATCTCATTTGATTCCTTCTTTCAATCACTTGAAGTTGTAGACAAATTTTGAACTCAGGGTTATGCAATTTTAAATTAGCTGGGTGTCAACTCAGAGTCGTCAAGGGAACGAGTGCTTAATGCCGTCCAAATTCATTTTCCATCACAGGTTTGTCTCTCAACTCCCTCCCTCACCCCTGCAACTCCAATCATCTCTTGCACTTTATACATGTAAAAACATTTGTATTGATGCAGCGGCCATTGAATGATGTGCAAGTGGTTGTGGAATTCACCCGTGCAGCTAAGCGACTGAAAGAGAAGGATGGACGATCGACTAATTGAGAATTCTGAATCTATGAGCCCTTGTATAATAATAATATATATATGTGTTAACCCTAACCTTTAGCTCAGATCCTAATTATATACTGATATGGGAGAGCTGCTAATCGGAAGACATTCTACTCCCCCGGATTCTAACCATGTAATGGGGGCAGATCCCCTAGTTAATTCGGGCAGGTGTTTCAAAGCCAATTATTTAAAATTTCCTGCCTTTGTTAATTATAGGGATATAGATGACGTAGATTTGTGGAGCAGAGATTGAAAATGTCTCAGACTGTAGAGCTGTTGAGCCACGAAGTAATGAGATGCCAAATTAAATCTTGAATGCTTGTTTTGGGCCATTGATTGGATTTTATAAGCAAAGGTTGGAAAAATTTGAGCCTGGTATAAAAACTCCCAATTATAGACGTTAATACTAGAGTTTTATTTTGGCTCGTACGGTAAAAACTGTCTTTTTTTTGTTCTTTACGTTATCGTCTTACAGAATGTCAGTTAAAGAAATATCATCTTAATTTTTGGGACATTTCAGAATATTTTGAGGATGATAAATGTGTGTTAGTCTAAAATTTCACGTGTAAGAGTGGTGATTATTGAAGAACAGACAGGTTTCCTAGAAGATATTTTCTACTTGATGGGAAACCAAACACAATCAATGGGACTGGGGACAGAACCAGCTCCTCAATTATGCAAGGATTGGTTTCGGTCGAGATTACAGGCTGGAATTTGGTGTCACGAGATCTTTTTCTACAGTAGGGGATATGATGTAGACGTATGGACGGATGGAAGTCTTTGAGAATGATGGGTGTGCCAAAATAGTCCCCCAAAAAATTGCTTCACTTTTCCCTTTTTGGGGCTCTAAAATTCCAACTCAATGTCACTGCTCCATTACTATAATAGCTTTTGCTTGATAAAGTCTAGTTCAAACTTGTGACTCCTTTTTTACTCATCTTAATTGTCACTTAGCCATTATTGGCCACAAAAAAAGTTCTTTTTTGTGCTTCAGGACTGTGACCTTTCTCTTTAATATATTTCGTACTAGCCGTTGCTGTGTATTATTATTTGATTGGCTGAGACCATGGCTTGTGGTTTTCTATTTCCAATCCAATGGCAAATGGGTATTCTTTAAGCTCAGTTAGAGAGAAATGAGTGCAAAAAAGACCCAGGAACCATGGCCCAGGTCTATAAGCTAAGAAACTTATACACAACAACTAAAGAAGAGGCAGCCCAAGAAAGTAATTGGTTGGATTAGATTTTCAGTCACCTGAAAATGAGAGACATAATGAGATACCGATTGGGCCTTTTCATGTCACCCTAAACAAGGAGTGCAGGTGATTGTGAAAATCATACGTTTTCCATGTCATTTTTTAGATGAAGTTTCTCAAGTGGGTAAGTTAATGAAATACTGTTACACAGATTTAATTTACATATAAATAGATCAAACCAATCCATTGGTCCTTGTGTTACTATTTTGGCTTTCAATTAAAAAAAAAAAAACATATTTGGGTGTCCTCATTTTTATTTATTTATTTTAAGGCTGAGGATGTTTTCATTTCTTTATTTATGTTTCTGGATTTCTTCATTTTGCACCACAAAAGAGCATTACCATTACCCACAAAAAAAAAAAAAAAAAAAAAAAAAAAAAAAAAAACTATATCTATAATAATTCCACAAGGTTTGGACTACCAACCGTTCTGGTCTCTTAAATGGATTAAGCTCCCCTCAATCCAGAATTGACCCTAAAAGCTCCCGACATCTCTTGGACTTTTCTCTCTTTCATTCTGGTTTAGCAGAAGATATATTCTTCTAGTAAGGGCGGTTTCCAATTCACCAGAAACCGCTCTTCACAGTGGATTTTGTTTCACTTTTATTGATTAAGTAATTCTAACGTAGTTTCTTTTTGAATTATCAAACGATTTTGTGTGTATTTTTTTTAGCATCTATCTTAAATGCACATAAAGGTTCAAGATTTTTTTTATCTACAGGAACATGTTATGCCTATTCTGTCCATAATCAAAGGAAGCAAAAGAGATGGCTACAAGTTGCCAGTTTTCATCTCCTCGGCAGCCTTGTAAATGGGTGAAGGGTAAAATTGTTGGATCAGGATCACATGGAACTGTCCATTTAGCCATAAATAAGGTCACTGGTGAACTTTTTGTGGCAAAATGTGCACATTCTGGGGTTGCTAGTGAATCTCTAGACGATGAGGCTAAGATTCTTGAGAGCTTGGATTCACCTTACATTGTTCAGTGTATAGGGAAGGACTGGCTAAAAGGATCAGATGGTGAAGCTATACTTAATGTTTTCATGCAGTATATGGCAGGAGGGAGCCTGTCAGACATGGCCGAGAAATTTGGTGGGGAATTAGATGAGGAAGTGATTCTTTTATACATCAAACAGATACTTTATGGTCTGAAGTATCTTCATGAAAACGGGATTGTACATTGTGATCTCAAGTGCAAGAATGTGCTACTAGGCTTGTCAGGAAACATAAAGTTAGCAGATTTCGGATGTTCTGTGAGGCTGAAAGACCTGGAAAGAAATGGAAAGCTAGCATATTCCTGGCCATCTGTAGGGAGGACTCCATTGTGGATGGCTCCTGAAGTTTTAAGAAAAGAAGGGTTAGATTTTGCTTCAGATATTTGGTCCTTGGGATGCACAGTTATTGAAATGGCCACTGGCAGGCCTCCTTGGAGCTATAAGGCATCCAATCCAATGGCGGCTGTATTGAACATTGCATGTAGCAATCAGAGACCTAAGTTTCCAATTCATGTCTCTGAAGAAGGGATGGATTTCTTGGCCAAATGTCTCGAGAGGAATCCTGAAAGTAGGTGGACAGCGGAGGAATTGCTTGATCACCCTTTTATTACAGGAAAGTCACAGAAGAAATATGCATGCTCCCCGGCAAGTGTTCTGGACATTGGAATTTATGAGGACGATTATGATTCAGATGAATCAGAAAGTTCTGATGAGCACTTGCATTGGAATCCTTTTTCAACGAAGAATTGGAGCAAAAGAACAATAATAACAATGAAGCAGCAGGGCTGATAATGATTTTGGGTCGGCAAGAGATTGGATTACTGTTAGATCACTTTGAAAGAGTCCTGATTTAATTTCTGATCCATGGCTTGTAAGATATTCAGAACTAGGAAGATGTACATTTAACAATAATTACATTGGCTGCACATTATTTTTTGAAGAGATCTTCTAGTCTAAAATCAGATCGTGAGATTAACACTATTGAGAAATTATTAAGTATGTTAGGAGTTGTACTTTGCTTTCTCAAAAAAAACAAACAAACATGGAATACACATAAAAATAATTCATGAATCTTATATTTTTGTGAGAGGTAGTTTTTGATATCCCAAATAATTCTTCTTATTTTATGTTGTTAGCACAAAGATTGTCATAACCAAAATTTCAAGCTTTTTTTTTTTTTTTTTAATTGGTTATTTGTTTTTTTATTTCATTTTCTTATCTTAATAAGTATTTTTTTTTAATTATTCATTTTACTTAGTAATTTGGAAAAAAAAACCAACAAAAAAAATGGAAAAAAGAAAAAATACAAAAATAATTTGAATTTAACATTCGGGGATGTAATTGCATTAAATTCAAAATAATTATAGTAATTGGGAGTACAATCCAATTATTCAAAGTTCGAGGGTCGAGTTACATTAGACATGGACCAAGTTGACCTAATAATAATTTACGAGAGATTAAAATTGCAAAATTTGTAGAGGAGTGAGCGACCGGTCGCCTAAATTTCGGGATCTTGGTCATCTTACTTCTCCCGGAATTAGTTTTGGTTTCTAGTTACTCGTAATTCTTTTTCCTTGGGAACCAGTTTGGTTCCCGGCTTTAGCTTTCAATTTCCAGCAGGAATCATCATCCCTCAACTTGCAGTCGCCTAACTCCTCTAAAGTCAACAATCTCGGCACCTCTTATTGTCTGTAAATTTCAGCAGCTCCATCATCACCCAACCCCTCTTGCCGCCTACCCCGCACAGACCCACAATCTCCAACGAGTCTCACCACCGCCACAGCCCCCAACACTCGTCCAATCCAACCCTCCACTTGACACCCATATCTTGCGGAAAATCCCTTACCATCATAGTGGGGGAAACCAACCAAGTAATTGACACACATACACACACACACACACACACACATAATTGAAAAAAGGGGAAGCTTTTAGTTTTTAGAGAAAGAGAGCTCAAAAAATTGAAAACAAAGGAAAAAAAATGGAAATTAGTAGCAACAAGAAAGAAAAAATCCAAAAAAAAAAAAAAGAAAAAAGAAAAAAGAAAAAGGAGATCGAATTTACTTGGAACTCGAGTTGCATCTCACTTCAATTAGATCCAAATCGACTCTTGGTAATCCCTTTTTAATTTCTCTCTCTTTTTTTTTTTTGCTATGAATTTAAATTTTGAGTTGAATTTGAGGCTTTTTGAATTTGGTTTGAAATCGAGATTGGAAAAGACTAATTAAGTCTAATTGAGGTCAATTAGAGTTTCAATTTGGGGTTTAAAACCCAAATTGAAGCTGAATTAAATTCAATTAAAAACTTAGGATTCTTGATTTTTTTTGAACAAATTGCATCGGGGTTTTTCAAAATTCGACTCCTAAAGGTTTTGAATTGATTTGATTTCCAGAGAAATCAAGTCAATTAGACCAATTGAACAAAAAAAAATTAAAGAATAGAAAGATTTAGGGTTCGGGTAAATTTGGGGAAAATTTTTCAAAATTGATTTGGGGCTTTTGATTTCACTTGAAGAGAGGGGTTAATAGAGTGAAAAGGAAAAAGAAATCAAGTGGCCATGGACGAACCTCCACTGGTTCATCCATGGCAGCCTTGGGCATAGGAGAGAAAGAGAGAACGTGACTCGAGAAAAGAGAAAGGAAAAGAAAAAGAAAGAAAAGAGAAGAAAGGGAGAAAGAGAAAGAAAAAGAAAGAAGAGAGGAAGAGGAGGGACGAACCTCCATTGGTTCGTCCATGGAGGCCGGATCCAAGTGGAGAAAAAGAGAAGGAGAAGAAAGAAAAAAGAAAGAGAAAAGAGATGAGACGAGATGAAGAGAGAAAAAAAATTGAAAATGAGTGTTTTGATCCAATTTTTTTTAAAAGGGAGAAGAAAAATGTGTTTGTCGGTTGGGCTTACATGAAAATGGGCTGGATTGGACTCGGATTGTTTAGCCCATCTCCCTCATTTGAAGAAAAACCAAAAAAAAAAAAAAAAAAAGGAAGAAAAAGAAAAAAGAAGAAAAAAATAACTATGTGTTTTTTATTTATCCATCTTTGTAATTAATTTAAGCATTGAATTGTCTTTAATTATTTTAGTTAATGTGATTTTAATTTTAAGTTTATTTATGCACATTAGTTAGTTTATACTAATTTAGAATTCGTTATTTTAATAATTTTGTAATTGTTTTAATTTAACCTCAAATTTATTTTTTGCATGCCCGTTATTAATTTAAATTTTAGTATTTGAATTTTCTTTTTTTATTTAATTGATGTAGCTTTAATTTATTTATTTAGTAATTAGGCTCGGTAAGTAATAGGTGGAGGATTGTCAAGTCTCCTAATTCTTTAGGGATTGATGACGATCTTTTGCTAAAAAACAAAAAAAAAAAAACAAAAAAAAAAGAAAGAAAAAAATCATAAAACTTTTAACAAAGTCTTCTATCTAATAGGGACTCGTTGTTAGCCAAAAAATCACTTTCAAAAAACAAGTGTTCTCGAGCACACCGATTGTGTCAAGACTCAAAAAAGTGGATCCGATGTTTAAACCGACGTGTCTCCCAATGAAGGGGTCCAACGATCGTTTCAATACGATGCTATGCTCAAAAATAAAAAAACTTAATTTGATTTGGAAAATTAGAGTTTTCAAAAATTGAAAAAATAATTTGGCAAAAAATAAAACACTTTAGGAGATGAATTTAGGACTAAACTAGACGTAGTACCTTTCTTAGGAAAGGATGCTTTTGGGTGATTAAATATCTTCCAAAAAACATAATCAACTCTTTATCCTAGAATCTCCGAACCGAGTGCCCATTTTAGGTTCCTAATTCCTTCAATACTAGGTGGCAACTCCAAACTTTGTAAATAATTTTATAAATAAACTAAATCTTAAACTAGATTTTTAAGAGATTAGTTTTTAGAGAGTCCCGTCCGATGTCGGGTAGCGAAAAAGATGGTTATGCATTCATGTTGATAGCTAGATTCTTGAATATTCATGTTGAAGGCTTGTCCCATATTTGAGGTAGCGTATAGGTAGCGTCGGTAAACAAATTCTATTCTTAGATGTTTTTAGAGAATGTAATTGCTCGAGAATTTGATATTTGTGTTTGGTTGGAAAAAAAAATGTTGGTGTCGTATCTTTACTCGTATTTGGTTCATTGTTAAAGATTCATGAGAAATTTAAATAAATTTACCATTTTAATCTTAAAACTCAAAAATCCAAATTAAAAAAATATTAATATGTATCTTTTATTTAAACATTACACACATAAAATACATGTTATTACTGTTGAAGACTAATATATTGAAATGGATCCAACTAAATATTTAAATTTTTGGTATAAAAAAATAACTTTTCGATGAAAAAGAAAAAAAAAGACTTGATAAAATTGTAATTATCAAATAAAAGAAAGACTTACTAAAGATATTTGAAAGAATAGGAACATAACATCTAAAACAATTGTTTTATTATTAGTGAAAATTAAGAGTATATTGATCCAATCTATATTAATCACATGAATATTTAAGTTTAAAATACGTTTATTTGCTGTTGGATTGTGATTCTCATCATTTTAAAAGGAAATTATATTTGTTACTTTTAAAAAAATACGATGCTTTAAAGAATATTAGATTCGTGAGAATTTAAGATATAACGTAAGAATCACTAATATGTCAAATGAATTTCCCATATAAATATCGAATGCCTCCATAATATACCAAGCATCCCCATAATGGTAATCTTCTTTTCTAGACTATTAAATAAGGAAAATCACTCATTTTGAGATACTTAGTTATAAGTAGTGTTACCTTTAATGAAAAAACAGTACAAATAGACACATTGATGATGGTGATCGTAATTTTATTCAATTTTTTTAACAATTTTTATATGTGTCTATACATTACCAAATATTAGTGTTACACATCATTATTCTTTAGTTATAATTATTTTGATGAGTAAATTATAAATTAATCTCTCTAGTTTTAAGAAATGAATGAATTAATCTTTCTTATTTCAAAAATTATTATTTAGTTTTTTTTACCGAGTGTTGATTATGCTTAATTTAAAAGTTAACTATATTTTTAATTTATCAACTTGTCAATTTTTTCTAATCAAGTATATGTTCTTTGATTTTTGTTATTTGAGTAAAATAAGTTGTAATTTTTTTTTCTAATCAAGTGTTTTCGTTAACTTCCGTTAGTTTTATGCCGACGTGAACGTTAAATGCATACGTGGCATGACCTGTGGGCCCCAAAATCATTTTTTTGTGTAAACTTGTTATTTTTTTCTATTTGAGTGTGTAATATTTGATCTTTACTATTTGAATGTATCAACTTATAATTTTTTTTCTAATTGAATGATTTCGTTAATTTTAGGCTGACATGTATGTTAATTGCATACATAAAATCGTCATGTTTATCCATTGTCAAGTTACATGACAATTAGAAAAAAAAACATTAAAAAAAAAATTCATTCTCATTATCGGATAGCAATGATAAAGGAAAATAAATTATAGAATAACAATAATATATTTATGACCTTTGCATAAACATAATAAATTACTTAAATATATTCAAATGTAAGGAAATGATTGAAAATTAAAGCGTAAAAGCTTAGTTGTGTTTATTTACCAAGACGGTGATTCATTCTCATTTTCAATAGAAAAACTAAGAATGGTGGTTATTTAGAAGATGAAAATATAAAATTGAGTTTTAATTTATAGTGAATGATGGCTTGAATTTAGATTGGATGAGATGGACTCGATTACAAAAGTTTCTATTTTAATTTTATATATTTATTGATTGATCTATTTTCA